AGGTACTCCAGGGATATTGTTTTGCAATCTCATCAAATATAATATTTGAAAATGCTCAGTCCTTTTGTTTCCAAGTTCCCATAACAGTTGGAACAATCCCTAAAAGAAAAATAAACACCATTATTTTCAAACTGAAAAGACAGAACAAAAGATAAGAAAGGAAAAAAAAAACACAGTAAGATTAGTTTAAGGAATGTTTGAATGTGTTGAATATTTACATGGCTAAAATAACCTCCCATTTGCACATGTGAGTGCGCAGTTTAAGCAAAACAAAACCAAGAAGTTTTGGTTTGTTTTGGTTGTCTGATTCATGATTTTCAAAGGGAGCAGTTAAGGTTTATCCATCTCTTAGCAAAGATTGGACTAATTATGTGGTAAATAAGAGATACTCTTTTAAAGGCTTTCTTGTCTGGTGTCATCCTAGCAAACACACTTCATATTGATATCCACCTACATGAAAAAGTCTAAAACAAGAGTCAAAATAATATACTATTCAAGATCTCGAACTTCGGCTCTTCTAATGTTTTGGTCCTTTTGGAAAGTCCAAGATTCAAGCCTTAAACGGCCTTGAGGTCCACCCGCCTACTCAAAAAATCTGAGACCTGTCGTAGGAGCGAAGTATCTTGACTGATAATTTATTTAGTAAAAGTAGATTCTATAGGTAATAGATATGTTACATGCCACTCTATCAACGTATTAAGTCAGTCGGTGGCTTCCTAAGTTTGTATGTTAAGGCGGGTCCATGTGGTTTTCACTTAATGCCATGTAGTATATCCGTTATCATTGAACTTAAATCGTTATATTTCTAAAAGTACAAAAGCTTACAATATTACAAAAACCAAAGTAGGGAGACTCAGAAATGTAATTTGACTAACACATGATATGACAAAAAGTGTTTCTTCATGTTTGTTTGAAAGCTATCATTCCCTCCAAAACAGTTCATTTCAATGAAAATTGGTGACTTTTTGCATCATTAGAAGCATCCCAACTGTTATAAAAGAGAGGGGGAAAAGAAAAAGAAAAACAAAGACTGAGCAGTAAAAAAATCCGAGGAGAAAACTGGCCTACTTTGCCAGAAAATAACGGAATGCCCGTAAAAAGTAGTACAATTTCCCAGCTTAACTTTCTTTGAGACCTTTTATCAAACAGATGGTGAGCAAAACCCTGAATGAAAAAGAAACTTGGCTCACTTTCTCTCTCTCTGATCTCCAAAAGCAATGATAAAAAGGCTACAGAGAGTCAAAAAAAGGGCAAGACAAATTTAACTAAGTGAGATATGAGAAGAAGATTAAACTGCAGCAAAAACAAAAGCAAAAGGGCCATCTAAATCATATATATAATAGTAATAGCAGAGTTTTGAATGGGAGAGAGAACAAAAAAAAAAAAGAAGAATACTCAAATTCACATGCCAAAATGGCATTGGGAACAGCATAAACCAATCATAATCCAATTGGGGCAAGGCTTCTTCTTCTTGTTTTTAGCAATGCCTCACAATCATGCTTCAGCCAATATTAAACACAATGATTGAGGCATATTCTGACTGTAAAAAACATCTCAACAACAAGACAAATTGCAGAAAGTGGCAAATATATAATATATTCAAATCCCCAATATTGAAGAGATAATTAGGGGTGTGTTTTGGGGGGGTTATGATCTAATAATTTCCATAATTTGAAGCTTGTAATTGCATAAAGTGTTGTTATTTTTGTGTTAGAAATGATGGATTCTGCTCTATGACCCCCCTCCCCTTGACTGATCCACTAAAATCCCAAAAACAGAGGATCACCCATTTCCCCAAATAGGGTTTTCTAGTGACCCATCTGCCCAAAATTAGAGAAAAGAGATTTTTTTTTTTTCTTTTTTGTTTTTTGAAAGGTTACTTGAAGACAACACCGAAAGTGGAAGAGGGAAAATTTGAGGGGTTTGGAAAATGGGAGGCACATGGGGGAAGGGAAATGAGAGGAAATGAAGTGAAGTGGGAAGCATTTGCATTGAGTTTTTTGGCAATTTGAACTTTGAAGAGCAGAAAGTTTGGTCAAGCCTCCTTCTGAAAAGGCGTGAACCAAAGCCAGCTACTTCTAAATGGAGGGTCTCCCCTCTCCACTCGACTAACAAACACATTTTCCTTCACAACCTTCCTTTTTTTTCTTTTCTTTTCAGGATTATAACTTTTGGTCTCTAATCGGGACTCTTGTAATATGACATGTAAAGTTAACACAATGATAAGACATCTATTACCATCTCAAAAATTGATGGTTCGATTTCCCTCTTGTCGTTGTTGAACCAAACTTGTAATGCAATTTTTTTTTGTTGGATATTTTAATATGCCAAAAGATATAAAAATATATATAAAAAAAAACATCTCTTTGTTTTGTTCTCTCTCTAAGTGAATTGGTTGAGAATGAGACAGGGATTTTGCACATTCTTCAAAACAGGCAAGGGTATAATTGGCATTTTGATTATTATTAATATTTTGAAAGTGGGTTTTCCCGGGATTTAGGGGAAAAGATAAACGTGTCCTTCTTAGGACTTTGACGAGAAAGAAAAGAGCGAGACTCCCTTCTCTTTCCCTAAAAAAACATCTTTCTATGATTTTTTGTTCAATTATAAATTTAGAAGTTGTTCGGTAAAGTTTTTGTTTCTTTTTATTGTTTTCATGGGTAGTTTTTGAGAAACATAAATTTTTAAGAAATTAAAGTATTTGTCGGACTGTGTCTTGAAAACTAACGTGAAAAGGATATGGTCGAGCTATCCGGAACAAGTTATGTGAGGAAGAACCTGCACAGATGTTAAATATTATGATCGTTCAAGTTAGTAAGAATCTAATCTATGCTCTTGAGACGATGATCAAATAAGCATACAAATGTACTTCTATTTATAGGTGAAGTGAAGTGGATTCTACGTTCTCGTTTTGTTAGACCATTTGAGGAGTTTGTTACACGATTATAGACAGTTTGGGCATTGTACCTCAACGTATAGCCTTGGAAAGACTAATAGTGATTTAGCCAAGCTATCAGGTATATATCACTCTGTCCGAGCTTAATAGGTCGGCCACTTAATATTATGATGAGAAAAATATTATGTGAGATTGTTGTTTCTTATTCTTCACGTGATTGATTGCTCAAACAGTAATATTTATTATTTCTTATAAAATACATAACAAATATTAAAAAGTAAATATAACATGAAAATTTAGAAGTCTTTAATTTTAAAAATAACATTTCATATAAAAAAATTACTTTTTAATTTAAAACTCTACGCACCCAAAAACAACAAAACACGTTTCTATGCTTTTTTCAATTAAAAAAAAATAATACAAGAACAGTTTCTCAATGTAATTTTGTTTTTGTTTAGTTAAGAACAAAAATACAGAAACATTATCAAAAGATTCTTAACGACTATTTTAGCCGTTGTATTTATTTAGATCATCAACTCAACACAAATATTGCTATGTCTTTAAAACTTAAGATTATGCTTCTATTCGAGGTTTCAATTGTTAGCTTCGTTAATAAAATGTTGACATGACATGTAAATAAATTTTTATTAAATTAACGTAATGTGTGACGAATAGTCCAACAAAGTACTGAACATTTCATGGTAGCATTGACTATAGATATATATAAGGTGATAATCCAACCCTTGAACTATGTTTATGTTTAAACATCATTAAAACTTTTTAATATTTTGAAATTAAATACAAAATTATACATGTTCAAAGTATGTGCACCAAATCAAATTTAGTCTATAATTTTTTTATATATATTGCCATTTTAAAGTAAGATTATTGTCCCTTTGTGTTTTAGTCCTTTTATGGTTCTACTTTCTTTAGCTATTATTATTTTATGAACAATAATTTGACCCAAAAATATTAATAAAAATTTAAGACACTGTCCTTCCTATTGAAGCAATCCTTTTGTACAATCTAAGGACAAAATTAAAACTGAATTATAAAATGGAAAAGAGAAAAAAGATGATACCAAATTTGAGATTTGAAAAAATAGAATGTTTTTTTTTAATTTATTTTTTAAGTGTTTAAATGGGATCTCTCTAATCTTGGTGGCAGACCAAATCACTCATGCAGCATCACAGAAGGACATGAAAGACCAAAAATTTGAACATATTTTTGGCCTAATTGGAGCCTTTGGTCAAATGGGGGTTTGACCAATAATAATAATTTTAATCCCATTTTGCCTTTTTTT